ATAAAAAATAGTAAAGAACAAGTGTATGTAAGAACAGCAAATAATTCACTAGATTCATTTACTTATACATACAGACCAACTATACAACTGCCTTTGTAAAAAGGAGCCTAAAATCCATTTAAAAATTAAAGACAGACACATTAAGGTATTGGTATCTGATCACACACAGTAATTTGACAAGAGGAAATTTTGTTTGTTCTATACCCTACCAAAAATCCTGAATTATCAACACTTAAAATACCCTCTTATTTGAAGTTTGGGTCTTTGGCCCTTTTCTCTAGCAACTGTCTCTTCTAATAGAGTCTCAGTCACTCTTTCATCCACCTCACCAGTGCAAAAATATTCTGACTGCTTCACAGCTTTTCAGTCCTCACATATAATATTTATGGTTCTTTCTTAAAAAAACAGTAACCCAAGAGGGGAAAAAAAAAATATTAAAATGTATACTTGATCAGCAGAGTACCACTGAAGTACTCTGCTCCTCCGCTCTTAAAAACACTTGCTGACACTGTCTCAGGGACCTGTCCATTAAATGCAAATAAGACAGACAAACACATTGTTTCTCAGTGGTTGCAATACAAAATATATTAAGATCCAAAAATGCATCCCAGAGAAATAACAGGAGATACTATCTACACTTTGGGTCAAAAGTATCACAGTAAACAAAATCATATTTTTAAAGATGGAAAAGCAATTATCATTTCCAAGTTAGCGGGTTCAAACAAGTATCAACATAAGTTCAGTCTGACCTGAATTTACAGCTCTCGGTGAGAATATCAATTAAAAAAAAAAACAAGAAACATGTCATTCCAATATAAAGCTGAGAAGAACACATTCAGCAGAAAATGGATGTTATCTGACTACTAAGCCAAAGAAACTCATAATGTAAGTCCCCCAGAAAAGCAAACCTGTAACATTGCTAGTGGTGTAATGAAATGAAAACAAGCTTTAGCAAAGAAATTTATCACTTTGAAATAAGGGAATCCACAAAGAAAACCTGACCATGATTACCTATTATGCATAGAAAACTCCAGTGCAATTCTGATTAACAGTAAGTTCCTGGGCACAGCTCCGCACCTCACAAGTAGGGAGGGGATACAGAGGTCAAGAAACCCACAGCTATTCTGGATATATTCCTCATTAAGAGCCATGTCCCAAACAGGAGCAAGTATCAGCAAAAGGCATTATTCCCTTCAGCCTGACTGGAACCACTCCAACCCTGTGCCTACCTGAAGTACCAGCTGTGTTCTCCATTATACTATGCCCTGACAGATTTCATGTATCTCAACATCGCTCCCCTTAAGGGTAAGGCCAGGGGAAAGACAGACAGAGAGACAAAAAACACCCCCACCGTCACCCAAATGAAGATGATCTCAGCCCAGAATTGCAGACAATCAGGACAGAAGACCAACAATTGCTATTAGGGATGGCACAGAACCTTTCCATTTTCATTCTCTCCACCTATATTGACTATCTTGGGTAACCTCCCTTGAAATTAAAGGGCAAAAATACCATTTTATAATAAATTCCTAGATTTCTCTGGTCCCCATAATGACAGGAACCCTGAAAGTGCTAGACAGCTCAAGGGGAAAAAAACGTTTTTAAAGATTTTGTAAGCATTACTCTAGCCACTACAGATAGAAGAAAGGCAAAGTCTTCACACAAAAAAGAATTACTTCTATTGGACCAATCAATACACGTTTATGATGTGATACTTTGGAGAATACAAGTCCTTATTTATTTTTTTTTTTTCCAACTGGAATAATAAAACATACTATCTATTTGCCACACAAGTTAATCGTACCTTATCTGATGAATGTTGCTGAGTATCCTTAATAGGCTTTCGTCAGACATTTTGAAAATTTCATTTGTTCTATCAAGTATCAACTCAATTTTTCTGTACAGACTAACAAACATCTGCCTATAGACCTTTTCCAGAAGATGCCTGAGAGTACTCTAGAGCAACTGGAACAAAATTGTAGAGGGCATCATGGCCTACTAATCAGAATTCATTCAAATACTGGAAAATTGTTTTAAAAGAGGGGCTAACCAATATTTAGAAAAGTGTCTTTTAATCAACTTCTCTGGTCAATGCATTTTAGTGTTTGACTGCCCTCATAGCATAAAATGTTTCTTTTATATCTTATGGGATATTTCGGTTTCCAATTTATGTCTGCTGCCCCTTAGCTTTGCACTGTGGCTCCATTTTCTCCAACACCCCCCCCATGAGGTTGTTGTAGGCATCAGCAAAATCTTCCTTTTGCCTTCTCCAGGCTGAAGAAATCCAGTCAGCCCCTCCTTCCACGTTATGCAGTTCAGCCCCTAACCATCTTGGTGGCCAGCTGTGGGACTCCCTGCAGTTCATCAGTGTTCTTCTTATGCTTGGGCTCCCTAAAGACTCCCTCCAAATGTGGTCTCAAGTGCCAGAGTGAGAGGAAGAATCACTGCCCTCAAGATGCTGGCTACATGCTTCTACACACGGCCCGATACGCAGCTAAGGTTATTCAGAAAATCTGAAAGATACCAATAGGGCTAAGATTTTTTTGTATTTACCATGTTAAGCCTGGTTGTTTTAAACTATGTCGTTTAGTCTTTGAGAATCATTTGATTTTATACCCTCTGTCTGTAGTGTACATTGTTTGTCGGAGAGTATCTTTACCAGTTAAGATACAGAGAACTTAATCATGTGTTTGTGTCAAGGAAGAACAGTTTGTGTGGCCTTTGGTGTCTGGAAAATACAGACATACCGACATACGTAAATAGTAAGAACTTGGAAAAGCACCCAAGTAAAGCATGAGACCAAGAGCCACAAAAATATGTTTAAAGGACAACTGAGCAATGCGTGTTGATTGGGGATAAAGAAAGGACAATGTGAGGAAGACTACGGATGATCACCAGAGGGAGAAGAGACCCCTACCATAATTGAACTGCGCATATTCCAAAGTCATTAGCATACAGTAATGAGTTCAAGGAAAGTACTGACTATTATAATTAGTTCTGAGAAACGTAATGAATATGCACAAGTTAAACTGTACTTAAGCTACTTTGTGAGACCACTGGGCAGAGCAGTCGTGGTGGAGTGATCTCCAGTGCTGCCCAGCGCTGCAATAAAGAATGCCTGCTTAATAACACTCTGTTGTTATTGAGTTTTCATCTTGGAATCCTTACCCAGACGCATCTAGCCTCCCACCTTGGTGAGGAACATTGGAAAGCAAGGGGGTTTGGAAGCTCTTAATTTTGTTTCAGTACTCTCCAAAGACATTATGAAAGACCACTTTTTTTCTTTCTCTCTCCCTTGACACAATTTAAGATAATTTGTCTCGTGTTGCATTTCATTAATACACAAAAC